CTCTCAGAAACTCTTTTTAGCAGTGGTTCAAACATGTAAACCTTATTACTTTAAAATTTTCAAGGATTTCACAAAAGCTCCGAAAGCTCTAATGTAGGGACACAAATAATTTAGAACAACCCTCTACATGGAAAGCAGGTATGTTTTAAACGATTTAGGAAGTCTCACGAGCATTTACACACATATATTCATACTTGCTAATGAGTAATACCGTCCTTCCAGTGAAATGAGCTGAGATTTTTTCGCAGTATTGGAACTGGACAGTACCTCAGTCAGATACACATGGGGTGCGTCTAAAGTCAGCAAAATATAGTATGCGACATGAGCAGCATGCTGAAACCATCCAGTGGGGGTGAGACAGTAGGTGCTGAAATCATCCAGTGGGGGTGAGACAGTAGGTGCTGAAATCATCCAGTGGGGGTGAGACATTAGGTGCTGAAATCATCCAGTGGGGATGAGACAGTAGGTGCTGAAATCATCCAGTGGGGATGAGACAGTAGGTGCTGAAATCATCCAGTGGGGGTGAGACAGTAGGTGCTGAAATCATCCAGTGGGGGTGAGACAGTAGGTGACCGGTACCCAGATGACATCCTACATTCTGTGAAATTCCAAAGCACTCAACTGATGGAGTGACGCAATCCCACAAGTAAATTGGAGTGGTGAAGAATGCCACTTGCTCAGACATTTTTGTCAAGATGGCAGAGAAAGTACCATGTCTGTACAAACTTAAGTAGAACACAAATACCCAGTTACAGTACATACATAGTTGACTCAAATATCTATTTTTTTTTTGTTTGTTAATAGTTTTTAACAGTTTTTAACTTTCACGGGGGTCAAGCTCCATCATTTGAAAACCTTCCAGTCAAGTAAAATGCAAGATGGCGACCTCGTGTGTCCGAATGCATGCATAGTGTTGTCATGCGCACTTTCAGTACATACGGCATTAACGGTCAGTAGTAGTAGGCTCCTGACGAAATTCAGTATGTACTGCGTAAGTGTGCATGGGACGTACCCACAGATTCCTGGAGCGCCACATGCAGGGGGAGATGGGGAAAAGCAGCCGGATTGAAAGACTCTCCGTCTTAAAGCTTATGCTCATGCAGGCCACATCACTGTGCGTCTGACTCATTCGAAATATAATAATTCGTCCCCTGCAGAGAAGTTGGTATTCATGAAAGGTGACTGTGAAAGTGTAGAGGAAGATAATACAGTATATGGAAATGCTACAGGCTTTCATGTTAGCGTCTGTCATTGGTTACTTGTTTTTTGCCCCTCTCATTAATTGCGGCAGAACAGTGCAGGACTAATTATTACTCATCATCAAGAGGATGTTGAATCCCAGTGACCATATCGACAATATTCCCCCGGAAAAGTTCCATCCCGATGGTGAGTTAATTGTTCTAAGGATATAAAAATAAGGCCATTTGCATCCGGGGCAGTGGTGCCTTTAAGGCATTTGCCCCTAGGATTCTCCTGGGGAGTACAAATAAACACTGTTGGTTGCCACCTCCTCCTTCTTCCTTACCTCCCCAGGCCTTTAAACGTTGTAGCAGATGCTTGCCACGCCCCCTGGTTGGGGTAGTTACTGCTCATCAGTCATGTTCTGTTGACCCACATGGTGCTGATCACACCCTGGTGGTATGCAGCGAGTTTGCCGTAAGCCATCATGCCACAACAGGGCTCCAAGGACTCAGGGTTCCCCCACACAGAGAACCAGATACTAGTTACCAGAGGCTGGGAATGCAGCTATTTAAAAGCAGATTAGGGACATCTCTGAGCTCCCAGCTGTGTTGACTTTGAGCAGCCGTTATGTGTATTTTTGAGGGAGAATGTTTTCATTCATTGGAATGGAATCCACAGAGTTGGACGACATCGTAGGTCACTTAGGTAGGATAGCAAATCCTGAAGGGAGAGAACAAATTAAATAATGACCAATTCCATCAATACGAGATCCTTCATCGGTGTGGTTTCCTCATTCCTGACAAGGTCTGTTGCAGAATTCTGACGTACAGTACTGTGCAAAAGTCTTAGGCAGTCAAAGAACATGTTTAAAGCTATTTAACTGGGTATTAAGTATATATTTGCTCATTAAAATACTATTTAACATTAGAACATATGCAGACTAAGAGTAGCACTATAAATACTAACAGGAATTCTCCAAAAAGTTATTGACATCTTGCTGGATGGCTAGATGAACATCGCTTTGGTTCCCAAACCTCTCCTCAGGGGCACCTAAACCATTTCATTTATCCATTAATTAATTCATTAGTTAAATAACTGAATGTAATTTTCCAAACAAGGTGTGCAAGTGATCATGTTTAAAAGTACTTTTGGTGTATTGGATGGTTCCAGCAAATAATTTAGTGACTTTAGGGGAGGTTTTGGAACAGTTAAGCTAACGGTAATGTAATAATTTCATACAGACATGATGGTCATTTAAACATCATTTTTGGCTACCTAAGACATTTGACAGTACTGTACTCTTCCACACCTTTTCATAATTCAGTTCACCTATGGGGGGGGGCAGAGGTAGATCGCCTTTTGTAACACACTCATTTAAAACTTTATGTGTTGTTTTTTTTTGCATATGTGCAAGTGGGGTTTGTTTTCCTTCCCTCCAGTCTCCGTTTGGTAAATTGTGAATAATGTGACAGAGCTCTTCAGATGTTTGCTGGGTTTCAGGGAATGAGGATACCAGCGGGTTGGGATTTGGCAGATCCACATGCACCGTATCTGCCGAAGGACAGCGAGCGCAAAGCGAAACATCGGCCGAGATCAATTGGATTTAAAGGAGAAGGGGACTTTTTCTCTTTTTTTTTTTTTGAATTTTCCTCAGCCTCTGTGAGATGCATAGTCTGCTCTCCATCTGCTCTGAGGTGTGTGCGTGTGAGTCTTAGAGGGGGGGGCAGTAAGCCTGTGAGTTATCATGTTTGTGGTACCTCCAGATGCCAGCCGTCAGAAGCTATTTCTGACAGCCCGCATGATCGCAATTAGATCAAACGTCCTCCACCTCCTACCCCCTTCTCCCCCATTCCCCACACGCCGCCTCGCTAGAGCGCTCCCTGTGGGCCACTGTGGGCTTCGCACGCTAATCTGTATGTTCGCCTCAGTTTTGTACTTCCTCCCATAAACTGAAGCAAATGGATTTAGTTGTGCATTTTCCTGTTTTATGCCCCATGTCTCTGCCTAAGGGGGGAGAAGAACCTGGCATGTTTACAGAGCTCCAAGTTCCCCCCCCCCCCCCCCCACCACGTAACTAAAAGGAGCTGTAGTTTCACTATGGTTCCTGGGTGTATCACTAACTCAAGAACCCGTCTTACACACTTGGGCTCTTGCAGATTACTGAGCTTTTTCTTCCTTTCAGAATCACTTACAGTGGAGAGAACAGAGGGTTTTTTTAAAAAAAATCGATCCCCCTCCCTATTCGACATTCCGGCGGTGGAATTGGATCGGTTTTGATCGAGCACATGCTCAGAATTTCCACGTGTCGCTGCTCTTTCCAGACGTCTCCCGAAATTACACGTTGCGTTTGTCACAACTGCCCCGTAATCTCATTGGCCAGGGAAGAGATGACGCCTCACTGTACGGACTTGTGGGAATGTACTCTTTTAGACAAGAACCTTTTCCAGGTTGTTTTCAACGCAGGAAGCACTGGGTCTGCTTCCCAACAGTACCAGAATCGGTTAAAACAAAACGTGAAAGTGGGTCAACCCAATGGAAACCCAGCAGAATAACTCTCCCAGTTGGATGTAACAGAGTCCCAATGGGGTTGGGGAGAGGGGCGTCTTTATCATGTCACAACAAGCCCTGTGCACCTCATGTACGACCTTAGGAAGGTCACTTAACTGTCACGAATCACGGAAAACCTCATTTAACGAAACATTCTCATTTCTCCAGAAGCTATGGAAGGTGCTTACGTTTATACGTTTGTGCAGCTCTTTGTCACACTGATAAACGCACGGCGATCCATCTCAGAAGCAGCTAGTGCCAGCCACCCCGGCCCATCTCCCTTAGCAGCAGAAGCTTGTCCCAGCTCCCGCAGGCCCTGTTCCCCAGTCAAAGCCCCGCCCACAACTAATCACCGGTATTTGGAGAACTTCACCAAGCAACGCCTAGGAGATGCGAAAAAATATGGCAAGAAGCAGCAGCTTCATACATAACCTGGAGTGACGAGGCAGAGAAATGGAAACATGTCATGGAAGATGGAGAGCGAATCAATAAGGCTGTGTGTGTGTGTGGGGGGGGGGGGGTGTGTGTGTCTGTGTGTGTGTCCATGTATAAGGGTGTGTGTGTGCATGAGTGTTTTGGTGTGTGTGAGGATTTTCATTACCCATCCTCTGACACATTGTATCTCTGTCCTGAAACAAATAAAAAAGATATATATCCAAAAATTCTGTCATTTGTTATGATTCTATGTTTGCAAACAAATGTATGAATTAGGAAAAAGAATCATTAGTTTAACAATGCATATAATGCAATTGTTGCCCCCAAATCCTTTATTAAGCCGCTTCCAGGAAGAATCCATAATGGTTAATTTTTTGTTACCTCTTTGGTCAGCAGCAAAGCAGATTAATTATTCTTAATAAGAGTTTAGACATGTGAGGGCATATGTGGGATTTGCAAATGCTGAATGTGTCTGGGTGCTTAAGGATCGGCTGATACTGTATCAGTGGCTGATGGCATCATACAGTTGTTTTGTACTTCATTCAAGGGTTATTTATGTAAAACATTTCCACTAAGTGCTTGTTCTTTGAACAGTAATTATCCAATAGGGGCTGGTTAAATGTTATGGAACCTTTGACTGAAACTGGGTTGCGGGCATTTGGGAAGAGAGTGACAATATAAAATAATACAATTGAATATTGTATTATATATAATGTATGTGTGTGTGTACAGAAGGAAAAGTTCCCTTTAAAAGAAGAAAGAAGCAATGTTGTTCCAATGACTGATACTCTCTCTCTCTCTCTCTCTCTCTCTCTCTTTCTGGTATTTCCTTTCAGATCTGTGAAGTCTGCTGATTCCTGGCTTTTTTGTGTTTCTCTTTTGAGATTGAAGTAAAACACAAGGAGATAAAATATTTCTCACCCCCGAAATATGAAAAAAAATTTATCATGAATGCCCATCCCTCTGAAAAGTCTTTTCAAAGGTATCTAGATCTCTCTCCGCGCCCATCGCTTCACACTGCACATAGGTTTACCCCTCGCCCCCCCCCTGCTTCTCAGTTTCTACCTGCTGCCCCCCCAGTATCTGCTTCTATCCTGCCCCATGTCAGTCTCTCTACCAACAAGGTCCTCCTCAGTCTCAGTCTCTGTCTCTGTCCTGCCCCATGTCAGTCTCTCTACCAACAAGGTCCTCCTCAGTCTCAGTCTCTACCTCTGTCCTTCCCCATTTTGCCTCTCTGTCCTTTTCTCCCAACCACTCTGTATCTCCGCCCTCCCCCTTCACGCATTATCTGTACCTCCACCCCCTCAGCACTGTCAGCCATATCTCTCTGAGATAGACCCATCTGTGAGTGTCTTCTCTCCTCTCCCTTGAATGGACTTTTCTGCTTCTGTCCCCTCGATATATTTCGTCTGGATGTTTCTCTACTTTCCTAGCAAATGCATAGAAACATCACAAGAGCCTGAGCTTGTGGTAGGCGAGAGAGCAGCTGATGTTTCCTTTATTTCCCCAGTTTTCTTTTGTGCCACAGACAACTATATTTGATCTCATTTCTTATTTAAGGAGAGAAAAACGATTCAATTTTGTCTGCAGCAGTAAGGGTCTTTTAGGGCAGGGTTAGTTTTTTTCAACTTTGTTTTCCTGCATTAGTTGTAATTGAGTGGAATATAGCATATCCTCTATAGTAACAGTGTGAAATTTGACAGAAATACACTATATATTTTTTCTTTTTTTTTTTTACAACTGTAACAATATATTAAGTTGTGTGCCGTTGACTGCAGACAGCTGAACTCCCCATCTATGACCTGTCCCCCCCAGCCAAGAGAAAAAAAAGAGTAAAAATTAATCTTTTTGCAAATGTAGGGCACTGTTTCTAATGTTGTTGATGTTTTTCTCTTTTTGACATACATACTGCAGTCTTTTGAGAATAGGGGGTGTTTTAGGTTTGGGGTCTTAGATTAATTTCCAGACTGGCAGTCCTTGTGCCCCAGTGCTTTATGGTTTTGGATAATTTCTGCCTAGAGCACAGCCCTCCCCAAATCACTCAACAGAAAGACAGAAGCCTGTTGATTTGGTGGCTGGTTTTGCATTCTTTTGGATCGTGAGTTTCTGTGGGTTTGTGTAAAAAATCCCATACAAGTCATGAACAAACAGAAATATGGATGATGTCATGAGTGAGTTATGTCTGTCTTTTGCACTGATTTAATAAACCCGTTACTGTACCTCCCACCACTCTGAGCTTGATTCTTTATTTGTGGTCCGGCGTCTGTGTCCTTGTGCAGTTTCACACATGTGACTTCTGCACACTGCTTTCTCCTCCCAGCACAAAGGCCTGCAGTCACAGTAATCAGCATCACTCATAACAATATGCTTATTTCAGCATGACAAATGTTAAAAGTATGACCATCGCTGTGGTTTCACCAGTGTGTCTTTTTGGTGAGATAAGGCAAATTTTTATAAAATCTTTTAATTAATGAGTAATTGAAAAATTCCACACTACTAATTAAGCCACATTTCCACTCAATATATGCACTGTCAAATATGCCTTAAAGGTATTTCTATGGGTTTTTTATGGATACCTTTTCCCAGAACTCAGAACAGAATGTCAATTTGCATGGGGTTATTCTCATTAAATATACATAAAATCAGCAGTGGACATTGCAATTTATTTTTACTGCCTTTCGGTCTGTGATTGTAAGGCAGGGAAATTCTTCAGTGATTCGTTTTAGAAACCGTTCCTCTCTGTAAATCTGTGATATGTAAAGCTGGGATGTCTTGGGCATTTTGCACCCCAGCAGCAGGACACACATCTGTACAGAAGGCTTTCAGGAGGATGGATGTAGCAGCTTCTCCTGGAATCTTGACTAGTGATGAGTAAATAAAGGTCGGTTGTTCCTGGGAGCAGAGCTAATGGAGGTATTACCTCTGGCTCCCTGTGGTGTGTGTGTGTGTGTGTGTGTTTTTTTTTCTTTCAGATTCCCTCCGAGAGGAAGTCTGTTGATATCCCTTGGAAGGCACACAGTGGTAGGTGTTGACGTGACAGATGAATGCCACGGACCCTGAATCCTCAGTCAGGCTGAGAAACAGAGCTGTCGGTTACCTAATTGTTCCTCAACAGCTGCCGACAGGAGAATGCTACAGATGCCCCTGGCATGTCTTGAAGTAACCAGGGCGATTCAGTTTATCAACAGGCCCATGTGTGTTTGTGCGTGCAGGTAAGTGCTGTCGGCATTGTGGCCGTGGCGAGTGGTCAGGAGTTTCTTATATGGTGATATCTTGCTGGTACAGGGATTAGCCCCCCCCACTGGCTCCCCAGGACATACAGTACAGACACCACATGTAGTGGCCCTGACTGAGCAGCTAATGCCTCAATGCTACTAGGACACCAAAGGTCCCCACCTTACATCTGACACTCCAGTGTTCATATACCATCTAAGGTTCTCTGTACCCCAGAAGACTAATTTGCCCTCAGATCTTTGGTAGAATAGAAGACGGCTTGTACCTCGCAGCACTTCACGTCACAGTAGGATCGAGTGAAAGAATGTAGCTCATTTGCTTGTATGTTGGACGGCAGGCTGTAGGAGTCATTACCTATAAAAATTAATTACTGCTGTTTCTGTACGCCATACTCTTTTCATTAAGCTTATTAGCAGGCTCTAAAGGCATTCATACTGCATCTGTTGGTTCCATGACTTCGATTTAACATGTCTTTCACTCATATTTTTCATTTTTCGTAATTAGCCTTTGGTTAGGTTCGTTTCAGAGACTGACTTTGGGAATGCCCGCCATGTGGTCATTAAGTATATCGCTGTTCTTTTCAAGCCCACAAGGAAAACAGAATCCTGTAACACATGTTGGGATCATGACTGGACCACCGGTACTGATCCAAGGGTGGATTTGGAAAGAGAGCGGCCTGTTTAGCGTGAGATGGCAGGAAGTGCGCATTCAACATTTTCCCAAACAATTTTTATCCCCACAATAATTATGCTGAACTTTGATTAATGATTCTAAGTGCAAAGGAATTACCGGGTTCATCATCTCCTCCTGATAGTGGCACTGAATGGGACTTGTATTAAAATATCATTAAATTTCACCTCTCACCTCCAGAATGTACTGTAAAAATGGAAGGCAAGGACGACCCATGTAGTACTGGAGAATCTAACTCACCAGTCACCTTTGCTCCACTTTCCTTATTGTAATTCCATGCAGACAGTAGCACTCCAACCAACGCCTCCCAGTGATGTTGGTTGTGTCTGCTGGACTCAGAGCAGTAATGGATTCTGTCTCCTTGAAGTGCACCTGACTCTCACAAAAACGTAAGTGTTCTAATGCTTGAGCTTGCAGGGTCCTAATGGTATCACTAAGAATAGTTAGCCCTAAGCATGTGCACGGATGTCACCAGGCTTAATTCTGTGAATGCATCCATTACCAAGCACACACACTCTCAGGTAGTTACACACTGACAACAGAAATTATTGAGTGGGTGGGCAGGCAGAAAATTAGGTGGGCCAATGCCAAAACAATTCACTTGGCGACAAACTCACTAGAGGCTCAAGTGTGTGTTTTTTTAAATGACCTGCGGCATTACTAAGACCAAATGATCAATGAGAAAGAAAAATCTATTGGCCTTTCAACAGCACATTTCCTCCGATTGATCAAACCACACGCACACATGCCGTTTTATCTAACTGTATCGCTCACTGTGAACGCTGAATAGGTGAACCTGAGTTCTACCTGGGTGGGTCTAGGAACACTTTGTTTTTTGTAAATATGCTTTATTTTGATAAATAGTCACCATATACAGCACCAGACAAAATCATGTGACAGTCATAGCTATCGTTTGACAAAGTGTGACAAGAAAAAAAGAGAGAAAAGATGGGAAAAAATTAAATAATAATAATGGAGGTATACAAGTTCAGTTCAGGTGTTTTTGCCAGTAAGAGCTGAGTAATGAGACAGCAGTGAGGCACTTTTGCAGTTGCTCATGAGTTGCATGGAATCCAAAATATTCTCAATTTCCAAAAGAAATGCCTGTAGAATATGTGGAGACTTCAGACACTTTCTCTTATGGATATAAAATTTACCTGATAAGATAAAAAAAAATACCACATATTGCAAGATGCTATTTGGGTCAACAAAGTAACAGATTATATCTTTTAAAGCAAAGGTAGAGGAACTATTGTTCAGCCAGGTCTGTCCTGATTGCACTACATTAAAATGAAACAACAAATGCGACATCCAGGAACCTGGCAACAAAGTGGATAGCTGGGTAAATGCAGTGTAATATTTTAAAATGGACCTCCTTGGCCTTATTTGAGATTGTGTATTTATAAGGGAGTGACCATGTTTTTTTTTCCGTGAGATGTCATCTCTAATCGAACCCCAATAGAATCTCCACTGTGGTAGAACTTTTGTTTGATTGTGGAGCAATTCCCTGATAAATTTGTTGTCACTTTTTTTTATCAAGTAAGTCGATTCCCCTCTAAAGACACTTTACTGTGTCAACTTAAAATCCCACTAAAACATGAAAGAGATGCTCTTTGCAAGGAATAGGGAAATTGAACTTGTGCATAAACTGAGTGTATGACAATAGGTTACCAGAGTCATCAAATAATTGATATATATGATCAATACCTCTGACATGCCAATTAGAGTAAAAAATTGATTTGGCACAAACTGTAATATCTGCATTATTCCACAGTAAGGCTTTTTGAGGGGAAAAGTTGTGGGTGTAACATATTTTCCAGGCCAAAAGCACTTATTGAGCCCAGGAACACTTGTGCCGACCCGTGCTGCTGGTACAATGACAATATCCACAATTTTTAAACAAGGATTTACTGATTGAATAGCTGCTTAAAGATACAGTGTAACCTGCTTATAGTGATCATGGTTATAGTGATCAACCACTTACATGGATCAAAAAGCTTGGGACTGAATTATTCCTATAGAAATATTGTTTAAATAACTCGCTTATAATAATTGAGTAGTCCGCTTACAGTGTTCATTTTGGATGTTCTTATACATGACAACATAATTAAAACTGCGCAAGTACAACCACAGTTATAAGTACACATGACAAGTGGATACACAGCACAAAAATTACATACACTAAAAAATAGAAACAGGGCTATATACAAGATATACACGGGCTATATACACATGCTTGCAAGGCATGCTGGGACATGCAGATGCCGCCGGTGCTACAAGTATTATAGCATATTTCAATTATACATAGTTCAGTAATTTAATTTGTACAGTACTGTAATTTGAAAAGCGTTTGAAACAGCTGTGCTGTATTTTGAAAGGGTCAATAAAACTCTGAAACAACTTCCAGTGTGCTGCTCGACTGCGAACCGAGTCCTGGGTTTGTTTTTGCTTGTTTGAGTTTTTCTCATAAATGAGCTACCCAGGGATGCAATTAGAATTTCAGTCTATGACTGATAATAAAGTTGTATCATCTCTGTTTTATTGCCTTATATTCATGCAATAAATATATAAATGTCCATTAGAAGGTAATCTGCCTGAGACATAAAGAAAAAGGGAAAAAATCGGTTAAATTGATCATCTGCTTATAGTGATCAATCTCACCCAGACAGATATGATCACTATAAGCAGATTCCACTGTAGTAGCAATTGCATCAGTATCTATCTATCTATCTATCTATCTATCTATCTATCTATCTATCTATTTGTCTGTCTGTCTGGCTGATTGTCTGTCTTCAGACACTTTATGAGAAGAGGAAATTGCATATTGTCAAAATCAGGTTTTTTAGATTTTCTTGACGCTCTCTGTCAGTAGATTTGGTCCGGCCACAACGGATTTATATCAAAACATTTTGCCCCAACTGTAATTGAGTTTTAATCCTTCTTTCAGATTTAAGCACCATTGTCCGCATTACCTCTCCTAACTTCATCTCAGCACTGGAGAAGGAAGGTCTGTGGATAAGCTATTGGCATAAAGCTACTGGGTGCGCTGCTTTTATTTAACAAGGTAAGAGCTTCTCTGTGGTTTCACAGGTGTGGGTCTTTCTGGGCTCACAAACCATTTTTCCCAATATCTTTTTCACTTATTGTTTTATTATTTGTGAGCAGTTATAGCAGTGAATTCTATTCTGCTGCAGCTAGTTTCAGAGACAATAAAAAAGAAAAATATTCGACAGGGATCTCAAAGGTGTTTGGATATGTGGCTGGCTGTGGACCATTAGGCACACAAGCAGCACCTGTTGGAA